GTCTGAATGACTTTTTGTAAAAATTGCTTTTTAATCCTAATTTGTTATGTTAAAACCTCAGTTTTAACACTATGTTATAACCCTGAGTTCATTCTTGCTTGTCGATTCTGCTATGTGTGTGTTCAAAGCCCATGAATATGCTACGATTAGTTATTTCTACCCCAATAATGTCTTATTAGGGTTTCTGATTTGTCTCTTTCTGGCTATACTCAGTACTTGTTATTCATGGAAGTTTATAATGTTTCCCTTAGTATTAGTATTATTTTCCGATTCTTTAAATCTCGGATTTCCTAGGATGATACTCTTTACTGATTTCCAGCTACTTTTCTTGTTTTCACAACCTTTAAAATACTTTCTTACCTTGTTACGTGTTTGACTGCATTATTGCTGAGTTCTTACTGTTATTTCCTTAATTATAACTCTATGTATCTACCCCAAATTACTTATTATGTACTTAGGTCTTTTGAACTCTTTCCTTATTTGGTACCTGTTCTTTACCGTTTGAAATGACTCCCTTAATTAAGGGATGACTTGGACTGATTTTACTTTAATTGATTCTGAATTCTCCAATTACTGAACAATTTGATTCTTACCTTATTTACCTAGATTTCAAACTACTATATATATATATATATATATGCTTTCTTCTACTCTCATTAGACACGAACATTAGTTCACAACCCCCTCACACACTTAAAGCTTTTCTGCTCTCTTTCTTATTACTTGCTACTATTAGTGAATTAGTCGGCTGCAAGCCAAGGCTAATTATTGCACCCTATTTCTCCATTTTATGTCTATTCTCCTTAACTTGTATGTTCTAATTTCAATTCAAGTCCTAAACACTATATGTTTTCTTGCTGTTTTAGTTTACTAGTTACCAGTTTATTCCTGTCTATTATCTGACCTTTCAATATGTAACTAGCCTGTTTGGATCACTATTAGTGCTGTCCTAATTCTAATATGTGATCAGCATGATATGAGCTTGTCCATTCCTTGTAGTACGTACTGGCATTACTCTATTAGTATATGTTTGAATGGTTATGTATTAGTTGGTTTTCTGGTTTGCTCCTGTTTTGCAAAACTGATTTGTTACCCTAAGTTATTCTGATGCTATGCCAATCATGTTTAGTAGTTCTATGTTCTCACTGTTGCTATGAAATCCTATACTATGTCATCTCCCAATCCCATGAACCCCCTAAGCACTTCTGATTCTATAACTATGTTCTAATTAGCATATCTGAAATCAATGCCTTACTGCTTGCACTGTTAGCTACTCCTTAATTTCAAAAGACATCTATTTATTATATGTTTATTATGTGTATTATATGTCCCCAAATCCCAATTCCCTAGTATGAATCATGTGGTTAGGACACTGTTTGCTGTGTGATTGATCTGTTGTTTGTTTGATTACATAATCCTTGTCATAACTGTTTTACTGGTAAACAACTCTCCTATTTTATAAAACTACCTCAATTGAGTCCTTTTCAATAATGTGTTTCCTATCAAACCTTTTTAAAACTATGTCAAGCACTCTCACTCCACTCTTAAGTCTCTAGGTTCTGCCTCTCCAGTGTGTGACTGCCTTGGGATCCCTGTGAGATCCCTCTAAACTCTGATGCACTGGGGCTGGCCCTTATCACTGTATTTACTCAATTATGGTTATAAAATCTAGGTGTGAGCACTACCCGAGATTCTTGAGGTCCTTAGGGAACTCTGACACACCCGAACATGAAACTGGCTATAAACTTGGTATTTGAGGCTATGGAAAATCTGGTATCTTCAGAATACACTTGGGCCTGCTTCAGGCTCCCTATAGTTAACTTCTTCTTTTTCTTTATTTGTTTATTTATTCAGCTGGTCTACAATAATTATCGTAAACAACATTGGGGTGATTAGTGAAAAGGGGTGGGTAGTTATATATATGTAAATCGGGTAGATATCATAACTATAGGATTGTGTTAATTCAATGTGTTTGCCATGTTTGCTTTCCTTCCACAATATTAGAAACCATGCCTATAAGATTCTAAATGGCTTTAATAATAGAGATCATGCCTATAGGGTTAAAATCAACCTTATAATTATATATCTTGCCTATAAAGTGTAAAGTAGTTGAGGTTCATTTTCCGTTACAGCATGTATTCACATTCGTCTTCTTAAAAATTATGCATATAAGTTCAAGAGTCAGCTTTTAATAATTAGATACCATGCCTATAGGAATTAAAATCAGCTCTGATAGAAATCATTCTTATAGAACTTAAAACCAGTTTAGTTAAATAAATCAGTTCAAATACATGTTTATATATTCTAAATTGGCTTAATTAATTAATCTGTTCGTTTCTTTAATACGTTTTCATACACTGCCTTAAATTAATACTGCTAGAAAGCATGTTTATAGGATCTCAAGTTGTCCGTTTAAAGATTTCTCACTATGTTACTGCATTCCTAATAGATATCATGCTTTTTGGACATCATTATTATGTTCTTAAGCAAGCCTATAGGGCGATTAAAATCCAGCAACTATAAAACTGCGCTTTGAGACTGCTCACTTTTAACATGTCTAAAATTAGTAGGATTCAGTTCTTTGACACTCTGTCTTTAATTTAGTACTGTATAATCTCTGTTCACCTAGATATCATGTTCTAGAGTTTCTCTTAGAATACTTGAAACTGTTATTCGAGACGTGCACTTGTTTGCTCTGCTTGTGGAGGTAAAATGTGAGCCTTTAATTGTTCCCTCTTTATGTGCAGTCCTAATTGTTCTTGATTGACGCCTAGATTTTTCTCCTTTAAATACTTTAGGATGGTCTAGATCCACCTTAACTAGAAGTCCCAAATACCTCCAGGAATACAAGGAAGGGACGGGTAGTGCGCGCATAGGATATCTATCAAGGTTATTAGAACGCTTTAGGCTATGACCAAGGGGAGGGAATTGGGTAGTAAGGATATGTGTAATACGCGCTAATGTCACGTGTAGATCCTCATTGAGGAGTGATTACCGGGCACTATGTGGGTGATCATGTCGGCTAACCAACCTAGGACCCCTCTTTCTCAACTCTTGTTGTTTAAATAAATTTACTTTTCTTTATATATGTGCAACTTATTCAAACCTTTCCCCCTGTTCCATTACTTGAATCATATATGTTCCTAGAATGCCTTTACTTGCAAGTACGTGTTAAAACAGTTTATCTGCTCAAATGACTAATTCACACCTTGGGACCTACCGTTGTGGACCGAGAGGGGCACCTAATACCTTCCCCTCATGGTTATTTCGAGCCCTTACCCTAAATCTCTGGTAATGCAAACTAGTCTAAGAGTTAATCGCTCTAGGTGCCCTAACGCACCATAATCAGTTAGGTGGCAACTCTTCAAACATACAATTCCCAAAATGAAATGAGTTATTATCCCCATGAATGTCGAAACCCGGACTTTCTCCGCGAAGATAAAAAAAGGGGGTGCGACAGAGAGTTAAATTAGCATTGAGAGATCAAAATCGCATGACAAAGAAGAATCAAAGTGAAAATGTTCCTAAACTATGTAGCCTTTGGCAATAATTACAGACATCTCCATACCGATCCCTCAGACTCTACTAAGCTTTCCCCTGAATTATGAGATCTAGGCAACCTAGTGCTATGATACCAACTTCTCACGACCCATATTTCCCACTGTCGGGATCGTGATGGCGTCTAACTTTTCAGATGCTAGTCAAGCCAATAGAAAAAGTTTTCAATACACTAACAACTAACCAATTTAGTAATAACAGCAGTTAAAACCAAAATAGATTAAAGGAGTACAGAATCTCATAATAACCCAAGTACTGATACACAACTACCTAGAAAGTGGTGTCACAATTCACAGATTTCTAAGAGTCACTACAAATACTGGCTGAAAGAAAATACAACTGTCTTTGAATCAAAATAAAACAATAAACTGGAATAACTGGTAGGGGACTCCAAGGTCTGCGAACGTTGGCAGATCTACCTTGGGTCTCCTGTTGGACTGAAAGAAGCAATCCAACTCTGATCAACATGGTCTAGTACCAAAATCTGCATAGAAAGTACAGAGTGCAGTATTACTACAACCGACCCGATGTACTGGTGAGTGCCGATCCTAACCTCGGCGAAGTAGTGACGAGGCTAGGACAGACACATACATAACCTGTGCAATTAAACAATATACTAGTAGAAATAACAAGTAATAGAAGCTAAGCAAATATTAACGGGAGAGGGAGCATGCTAAGGAGGGGGAGTTGCAAAACAAAGAATCACAGCAATAGAGGAATTTAAACAACTAGTACATCTTGAACTGGTAATAATAAGTAAACACAACAACAGAAAGTGCACGGCATCACCCTTCGTGCTTTTACTCTCAATCGCACCATATAAGTAATAGTAGAAACGTGCACGGCTCACCCTTCGTGCTTTATCACTCAACCTCACCTTATAATTAATAGACAAATGCACGGGATCACCCTTCGTGCTTTATTACTCAACCTCACCATATAAATATTAAGAACGTGCACGGCATCACCCTTCGTGCTTTATCACTCAACCTCACCAACCATGAAACATCAATAACAGAGAGATGGTAATAACAGCATCAAGTCTTACTTCAACACTTAGTGCCACAGTACCAATATCAACTTTGAGTCAATACTCAATCAAAACCTCACTCAGTAGAACATGATAGGAAATGGCTCAACACATCGAATAGATAATCTAAACAAGAATAGTATGATCAAGGATGCACCATTTACAAGAATAAAACTTAATTCATATGCTATGACCCGACAACAACGTATAGATACTCGTCATCTCACCTATACGTTGTACTCAACACCCAAACACATAACAAATAAGCATATAATACCTAATCCCTCAATATAAGGTTAGCCATAACCTGAGCTGGGCCTACCGGAACTATCTGGGCCGGAACCTCATCATCAAAGTCAACCTGAGGCTCCGCCGCTGGTGCTGCTGCTCTGGGTTGTGCTCTGCCCCTACCTCGACCTCTAGCACGACCTCGGTCTCTCCCTCTGCCCCTTGTGGGAGCTGCTGCTGGGGGCTCGGGCTGCTTTTTGGTGGATGGGGAAGCAAGTGTTCTCGCTATCTACAGAGTAAAAATTTAATTAGCATTGAGAAACCAAACCGCACGACAGGAAAGAATAAATATGAAGTTTTTCCTAACTCTATAGCCTTTGGGGGATAAATACAGACGTTTTCGTACCGATCCCTCAGACTCTACTTAGATTGTCCGTGAATTGTGAGACATATGTAACCTAGAGCTCTGATACCAGCTTGTCACGACCCGAAATTTTCGCCCTCGGGAATCGTGATGGCGCTTACTAGTGAAAGCTAGGCAAACCGACCATCTGAACAAATTACCTTTCTTTTTCTTTTTAACTCTTTAACAAAAGGTGATTCAATAGTTTATAGATAGTGGAAATTTCAAACAGGCGGAAGAAACGATTAAACCATTTAAATAATCTCAATGTAATTTCTTAAACAAAACTACCCAGAACTTTTATCACGTTTCACAGACAGCCTAGAATTACTACAAACAAGGTCTGAAAAATAAATAATACACTGTTTCTAAAATAGGTAAATGAAGCAAGATGAAGGGATAAAGCGAGACATCGGGGCCTGCGGACGCCTATAGGACTACCTCGGAATATCCAACTGGACTGAAGGCAGCCACCCAAACTAAGGTCCAAATGCTGCTTCTCCGGGATATGCACACAGTGCAGAGTGTAGTATCAGTACAACCAACCCATGTGCTGGTAAGTGTCTAGCCTAACCCCGACGAAGTAGTGACGAGGCTAGGACCAGATTACAAAATAACTTGTGCAGCTATATCATATACAGTGGAAAATAAAACAGAAATATACCACTAAGGATGAGAGGGGGACATGCTGCGGGAGAATATCATTTACCAACAGTAACTCAGAAGAAAAGCATAAAGAACAATTTAATATTTGCGGCAGAAAGAATAAGAAACTGTAACCAATCAATAACCAATTTTATCATTTATTGTTGCGGCACGCAACCCGATCAAAATCATAAAAAATACTATTTCGGCATGCAACCCGATCCATATCATTTATAATTATTGCGGTGTGCAACCTATTCAATTTATAATGTTGTTGAGGCGTGCAACCCGACCCATATATAATATTGTCGTGGCATGCAACCCGATCAAAAAAAAATATTGTTGCGGCGTGCAACCCGATCCAAATATACAATTCAACACCACTCACAAGAAAAGAGTCCTGGCAAGGGAACAATAAGGAAACCATACTATTCCGACAAGGAAATCGACAATCTAAGTAAATACGTCCTGGCAAGGGAGTCAGCTATAACCAAACTTGTTCCAACATTTAACTTTACAAAAGAAACCTCAACTAGCACCAATACTCAACCATGATCAACTTCTACGAGAATAATCATAATTCTTGCCCAACAAAGAAAATCAACAACTTAGGCATTTGTAGTACTTATTAAGAACACAACGATTTCAATTTAAGACTCACGGGCATGCTTGACACCAACGTATAGATACTCATCACCATGCCTATACGTCGTACTCAACAAATAACACATAGCAAATAGGACACAACTCCTAATCCCTTAAGCTAAGGTTAGACCAAATACTTACCTCGATGCCACGAACACAATTCAAGTCTCGACTATCGCTTTACCTCTTGATTGCACCACCAATCTACTCGTATCTAGCCATAAGTTACTTAATTACATCAATAAATGCTACTTGATTCAATTCTAATGCATGAAAATACATTTTCTAAAGCTTTCCACAAAAAGTCAAAAATCGCCAGGGCCCACATGGTCAAAACTCGAGGTTCGACCAAAAACCCGATTACCCATTTCCCCAAGAACCCAAATATATAATTTGTTTTCAAAAATCGGACCTCAAATCGAGGTCCAAATCTCCAAAATTTGAAAAACCTAGGTTCTACCCAAAACACCCAATTTCCCCTATGAAAATCATTGATTTTGAGTTGAAATCATGTGGAAAGATGCTAATGATTGAAGAAAACTTGTTAGAAATGACTTACAATCGATTTAGAAGAGAAGTTTTCTTTGAAAAATTGACCAAGAGTGTTTTGATTTTGAAAGAGTGTGAAAAATGGTTGAAATGCGTCTAAGTTATGAATTTACAGGTTGCAAGTATCGCAATTGTGACTAGGGTTCACAATTGCGAACCCAAAAGTCTACTACTCTCGCATTTGTGATCAGCTTTTGCTTTTGCAAAGTCACTTTTGCGGTTAAACTGTCGGATTTGCGATACTGGGGAAATCCAGGTCACTTTGCAAATGCGATGGCTCTTTCGCATTTGAGACATCGCTTTTGCGATGGCTACTTCGCATTTGCGACCCAAAGGCAGACCAAGTCCCTTTCGTATTTGCATTTGCGAGCTTGCATTTGCGAGCCAGGCTTCGCAAATACCTGATCATACCAGCTGAAAAACCTACAATTTTCCAAGTTAAAATTCAACTCTGTGGCCTATCCAAAACTCACCCGATCCCTCGGGGCTCCAAACCAAACATGCACACCAACCTCAAAACATCATACGAACTTGCTTGTGCATTCAAATCACCAAAATAACCTCAACAATTAAGAATTTAGCATCAAAATCATAAAATCTCCTAAGAACATCAAATTTTCCAATTTTCTCAAATACGATCCGATTCATGTCATTTCAAGTCCGTTTCTTACCAAATTTCACAGACTCAACTTGAATCACATATAAGACCTGTACCGGGCTACGGAACCAGAATAAGTTATGATTTTGAAAGAGTATGAAAAATGGTTGAAATGCGTCTAAGTTATGAATTTACAGGTTGCAAGTATCGCAATTGTGACTAGGGTTCACAATTGCGAACCCAGAAGTCTACTACTCTCGCATTTGTGATCAACTTTTGCTTTTGCAAAGTCACTTTTGCGATTAAACTGTCGGATTTGCGATACTGGGGAAATCCAGGTCACTTTGCAAATGCGATGACCCTTTCGCATTTGAGACATCGCTTTTGCGATGACTACTTTGCATTTGCGACCCAAAGGCAGACCAAATCCCTTTCGTATTTGCGGTAATTTTTTTGCATTTGCGAGCTTGCATTTGCGAGCCAGGCTTCGCAAATACCTGATCATACCAGCTGAAAAACCTACAATTTTCCAAGTTAAAATTCAACTCTGTGGCCTATCCAAAACTCACCCGATCCCTCGGGGCTCCAAACCAAACATGCACACCAACCTCAAAACATCATACGAACTTGCTTGTGCATTCAAATCACCAAAATAACCTCAACAATTAAGAATTTAGCATCAAAATCATAAAATCTCCTAAGAACATCAAATTTTCCAATTTTCTCAAATACGATCCGATTCATGTCATTTCAAGTCCGTTTCTTACCAAATTTCACAGACTCAACTTGAATCACATATAAGACCTGTACCGGGCTACGGAACCAGAATAAGTTATGATTTTGAAAGAGTATGAAAAATGGTTGAAATGCGTCTAAGTTATGAATTTACAGGTTGCAAGTATCGCAATTGTGACTAGGGTTCACAATTGCGAACCCAGAAGTCTACTACTCTCGCATTTGTGATCAACTTTTGCTTTTGCAAAGTCACTTTTGCGATTAAACTGTCGGATTTGCGATACTGGGGAAATCCAGGTCACTTTGCAAATGCGATGACCCTTTCGCATTTGAGACATCGCTTTTGCGATGACTACTTTGCATTTGCGACCCAAAGGCAGACCAAATCCCTTTCGTATTTGCGGTAATTTTTTTGCATTTGCGAGCTTGCATTTGCGAGCCAGGCTTCGCAAATACCTGATCATACCAGCTGAAAAACCTGCAATTTCCCAAGTTAAAATTCAACTCTGTGGCCTATCCAAAACTCACCCGATCCCTCGGGGCTCCAAACCAAACATGCACACCAACCTTAAAACATCATACGAACTTGCTTGTGCATTCAAATCACCAAAATAACCTCAACAATTAAGAATTTAGCATCAAAATCATGAAATCACCTAAGAACATCAAATTTTTCAATTTTCTCAAATACGATCCGATTCATGTCATTTCAAGTCCGTTTCTTACCAAATTTCACAGACTCAACTTAAATCACATATAAGACATGTACCGGGCTACGGAACCAGAATAAGGGCTTGATACCATCAAATTTTAAAAACATTTCTTTTCCAAAAACTTATAAATATTCCAGAAAATAATTTTCTTTAAAAATTCATTTTTCGGGCTTGGAACCTCAGAATTTGATTTCGGGCATACGCCCAAGTTCCATATTTTCTTACGGACCCTTCGGAACCGTCAAATCATAGGTCCGGGTCCGTTTACCCAAAATGTTGACCGAAGTCAACTTAAATTCATTTTAAAGGCAAACTTCATCATTTTTTACATAATGGATTTCCGGCTACGCACCCAGACTGCGCACACAAATTGAGGTGAGACCGAAAGAGGTTTCCTGTAAGGCCTCAAATTACAGAATTTTATGTCTAAAACAAGTGATTATCTTTTGGGTCATCACTGGTCCCAATACCTGAACCCTAATACTTGGCAACCTATGCCCCCGTCACACCTCATGGTCACGCTGACAACTCACTTACTAACTAGAGCTACTCTCACATATATGACTTGTAAACGAGAGTGTACATCTATACTCAGCAATGTCAGGGGAACTTCATATCCAATTGGAGTGTTCAACTACGTGTATGCTTGTGCAAGTGCTCTAACATAGTTTCTACTAGCTAATAAGCATAAGGAAAAGAACGGACAACACGTAAGCTGTTTCTCACAACTTACACATGATACAACTCATCTAAGTAAGCGTACCACAACACAATATCAAACAGAAAGAATGCCCCCAGGCCATCACAAATCATCACAATCAATCCCTGACAAAGCCCACCTTATCTCGCCACGTGTGCAACAATAATATAGAGAATGCCCGCCTTATTTCGCCACACGTGCATCATAATGTTCCCACCTTGTCTCGCCACATGCACAACGCACATATAAGCATATATGCATATCCCGCCTAGTCACGCCGCATGTGCAATATATCAATAGT